CCGCCCCGCCCCGCCCCGCTCCGCCCACGCCGCGATGAGCCGCTGAATGGGTGGTTGTCGTGCTGGCTGAATGGCCATGATTGGTCCAGGGGCAGGGGTCGGAGAACGGGAGGGGAGTGTCCACGGATTCTGCCCGTAGGTGAACAACGGCACTGGACCAGACACTGGGGGTGAGCGGACTTCAGTCGCCGGACTCAGTAATTTAGGTTACTGCAGTCAACCACTTGGGGCACCTTTCTAGTTTTCTATGTCACGCTGCACGCTGCACGCTGTGCAAATGCTAGAGCGAGGGTTGTCGCCTGAGTGGTGATTGAGAAACTTCGATCTTTCGTAGTGAGGATTCCTAATTTTAACCTCACTAAATTTGAGTGATAGTTAAGAATGTCACTCAGAGTAAGAGCGAGATTTCAAAATTGTAATTTGAATGGAGTCAGGGACAAAATCTTCCTTGTAATAGGCAATAAGGATGACTTAAATCGCCTGAATTCTCACAGAGGACCCCTTCCCTCTCTATATTCTATATATTCCCCCTCCCCTCTCCAGGATGGCCGGAAAGCGCACCTCCAGGCGCTTGAATACCCGTCCTCTATCCCCGTACTCAATCGCTGCCTGCTGCGTGCCACCAGGCGACGTCGGGAGCTCAACTCTCCCTTCCCCGTTCGCTTTTGACGGTGCTGTTTTCGGACGGAGGCTTGGAGAGACACCCCCGCCCCCCTCTACCTTCTCTTATCGCTTACCGGGTGACCACTTCTCGAGCCACGCCACCCTCTCTAGTGAATCCGGACGGTCTTGTTTTTGCCGGGGGCGCTTTCTGGGAGGATGAGCCGAACGGCAGGCAGCAGGTCGAGGCCGTGGCGGAGAGAGAGAGAGAGAGAGAGAGATAGATAGATAGAGAGAGAGACAATAGCAAAAGAGGGGCACGCCCGCCCGCTCACCTTATCCTGGCTGAGAGCGCTGAGCGGGTAGATAGATCCACCCGGTGCCTCTTCTTGTTATTTTCCTATTTTTTCTCTTATCTCTTACCTATCGACTCAAATCCTTTCCTCGCTGATCGTCAAACCCCTAAACCGCTTGGCCGCGCGCCTTCTTCTCCTCCTCAACCTCCGCGTCCTCGTCCTCGTCCTCGCCCAACTCGCCCACTTCTGTTCCCGCGAACATGGAGTTGCCTAGAGGGCAGACGTCGACACCGCTCGCTGCACACAGGTGTATTGAGCGGATTTTTGCCTCACTTTTCTGGCAGAAACTGCTCAGGCTTTTAGCTTGCCGTTCCCGCTCTTTCTTGCCTTGTAAAGGAAAGGGCTGGGGAGGGGAGGTTAACGACTCGTGTGTCACGCTGTGTCGTGTACGCCCGAGGCGGCGCCACTCCACGCCACGCCGCGCCCCGACTTGAAATCCTTTCGGCGGCCAAACGAATTTCCCAGAGTGCCACGAAATGGTGCACTTATCTTCACCAAATGATCGCAGAGATCTAATTTTTTCTTCTCCTTTTTCAATGACTATTTTTTTAAGAAGATGATACCCTTAAACAGCGAATCTATAACTCATAAATTTACTTAAGTAATATTAAGGTGT